CCTGAAAATCCAGGATTTAGCTCAGACCTTATGTTAAGTTTTCCATGATCCTGCGACAGTCATCTCACATTACCTGCTGAATCACCTTCACTCGGATTATTAATCCCCTCTAGCCTGTAAACCCAGCTGTGGAATCCATTTTCACTTTCACCACTGGTCACTTGAGTCCTTTATGCTTTCCACCATTGAATTGGAAGAATCAACCTTTAGCTGCTTGAATTACAAACTAAAAGATTATTATAAAGTTGCATGAACCATTTCAAATGAAAATGGACTGAGAATAAAAGAGGCTCACAGCCAAAGGATGAACTTTATTCAATGAAAGGAAGGTGTGACATTGAGCAAAGCTCCATGTTTTCTAGATTACTCGATGGACAGCAATGTTCTGGATATTTGATGCAGAAACACGTTTACACAAACAGCTGGAATACATTTTTTTCTTAGTTGTAGGAGTTACACGCTATCTAACAGAAGCAGATCTACAGGATTTTAGAAATGTGAGTCACACATTGGAGCAGACTAAATCCTGAGAGTCACTGCCGTTCAGATCCAGGTTGGTCTTCTTCTTGGACAGCTTCTCCTGCCTGATGTCAGAGCCTAGGTGGCGCTCCTTGCTGTGGATGACTTGGATGTACTGGTCTGTGCTGCTGTTCTGCTGGTCGCTGCTGGAAGCCACAGAGGCTGAGTCCGATTCAGTTAGAGGATTCTCCAGCTGGCTCCTTAACTTGGGCTTCAGGTGAGACTTCACAGCTCTGATTCTGACGGGGGACTGACTCTGCCTCCCTGCAGATAGAACAGGACGCCTCTGCATGTCAGTTTCTCCAACGCCGGCCGGAGAAGGAGAACCCGGGCCATCCTCCCAGTCCACCTCCTCCCTACCATCCACCGCTTCAATGTCGTCCTGCATTCCGTATCTCGCGGCATGGCTTCCTCTGAAGCTCTCTAACCTCTCCCCAATGTAGAAGTGTGCTTGTTGCTGGTGCTCCGACAGAGGGCGGGGCCGATGGCTTTTGCCTAACGAGGTCCTTTTTCTGCCTTTCCCAGGTTCCTCCTGGTCCTTAAGAAGCTGCTGCGTCGTGTGCGAGCGGTGGGGGTGGACAGTGCGAGGCGTGAAGTGCTTCATGTTGCGTGGGTACAGCTCCAGGATCTCTGTGGGCTCCTCCATCAGGTAGTGCCTCGGGATCCGTGTGGCGGAGCACAGCAGCTTCTTCCGGGGTCGGTGCTCATTGACGATAACATAGCGGGTGGTGTGACCGCGACGGCCCCCGTAGCTTTGTGCGGCGATAATCCCAGCAGCCTCCACAGGGTGTAGAGAGCGTACGGTCTTCCTGTACAACGGGTCGGTGTGCATGGTGCCAGAACAAGCAGCCGGCGAATTGGATGCCATATGGTGGCAGGACTTGGATCTACAGGAACCACTTGGGCCACTGATGAAATGTGGTGGCCTGTTATGAGAAGGAAAAATACAACATCATCTATTTATTTCTTGCAGACATAAGGTAAAATAAAAAGAATCCTGAAAACCTTGATGTCTGTCCGACTGGCGGCAGCTCCAAATATTTACCCATCAAATATTTTTAATTGAGGAGCCATAAAACCTTGGATGAAGTTAGAGGTTGTTTTGACCAATAAAAGGCGACACATTACACACAAAAATAATTTATGAAACTTCCAGCAGTGTGGATACCGGCCCCATGAGAGCCGATGGAGGAGCGCCAGTCTCCCAGCTGCATGGCTCACCTTTTATTTCCTATTCTTACAGTAAAATACCAGGGTTTATCTGACAGAAACATGATCATATATGGATGTTATTAGCATCTATGAACTGAAAGTCTCCATCTTTATTTTAGAAATTGTTGTTAATTTGTAAAACTACATGCATGAATTATTATAAAGCTATTTATATGCATGAATCAAGCGGAACACTATGGCCATAGCCGTTCTGCTCCACTTGTGAAAGTAAAACCTGTTGGGCTCTTTTTTGTCCCTGAGCACGCTCCTGAGCGGCCCCTGGTGCCATCCCTGAGCGCGCCCTTGCGCCGCCCCAGAGCATGTGCGTCCCAGCTGCTGAGGTTCGGGATCTGTTGCCACCAGGACTCGCTTACATCAGGGTTCTTCGATTTCTCTGCGATGTCCTGTGAGACATACACCAATCCGGGTGCCCATGTCCTCCAGCTGCTTCAAGGTCTGAGAGTAGTTCCTCCTTTATCCTCTCATTTAGTCCAGTAATAAAAAGGTCCTCATTCCTGGAAGTCTCAGGAGATGACAGGTGGAAATCAATAATAAATAATCAGACACAGATTGAAGCCTCTCTACTCGGAAGAACTGGGCAAAAAGCTTTTATTAGTTGCTGAGAAAAAGCCCTGGAAGAGTGACACTAGCTAGAATTGTTCTGCCACTCTGAGATTCCCCACAGCTTCGCTTTACCGGCTAACAGTGAGATGACATATGCTACCATAGCCCTGTCAGTACGACATGCAGAATGCTGAAGCCCAACATGATTTTCACATTTGGTAAGGAAAGCCAGGCAATGATCAGGATCAGCTTAGACAGCTAAGGTCTGACGGCAGCCTAGGTAGGAGTGGGAACGGGAATAGCCTGACTACGCAGGTGAGTAAAAATCTCCCGCATGCCTGACTGGAGCTTGGAAATAGATTATTCTACACCAGATGCAACTGTTTGTTTGTCAATAGATCCATGTATGGCCAGATTATTCCGTCAGGCTCAGAACAATAGGACCCCGTATTCCAGGCAGAAAAACAGGTAGATTAAAGAGAACCGATTAGAGCAGTGTGGGCTTCTAAGGCAGGAACCTCTGCAGGAGGAGACAGCAGGTTAGTGACCATGTCTTTCTGGAAGTGGACGATAATGAACATGTGAGTCACTAACCTGGTCTAATAGTTCAGTCCGAGCCCAGAGGGTGAGGTTGGATCCAGCCGGTTGGCTGCCAACAAGACGCAGCGGGTGCTGCACAGAGAGTCCCAGATGTATCGGAGGTCGGAGGACAGGCCAAGCACACGAAGGAAGGCAGGATAATCCAGAGGGTGAAGACATAGCCGGTGTTGGTGACGTGCTCGGTAATTAGAGCCAGGAGGTTAGAGGTCCAAAGAGGTGCCAAGAGAGAATCCAGAGGAAATGGGGTAAGAGTTCCAGGTTTGGTTCACAGACGGACGGAGAACCAGCAGGACTTAGAAGACGGGTCAGGCAAGCAGATCAGATGAAGACAGGCAGGCTCAGATGTCCAGAGGCAGAACGGGTGAGAATCAGGCAATCGGAAATACAGGAATGCTCAAGAATAATCTGGAACTGATGACTGGTCTGAAAGGTGGTTAAAAAGAGACTGAAGCAGGTGGATCAGATCAGCATTAGTGAGAACTGGGCGGAGCTAAGCATGTGAGTGAAATGAGTAATCAGACCAGACATCAGTACCAAGTTCATGACAGTTTTAAATCCACTAAAATGTGAAAACCAAGAGGAATGAAAGCTTCTGTATGTTGCTGTAAACTGATGGACTATATTCTCAGCTGGTACATCAGACGGCGTTAATGAGACGACACACAATTCAACTTTGACATAAACACTGCTAAGGTCATCCTGGTTTCTGGGAAAGATACCTGTTACATAGGAGCTCCACCTGGCGTTTGGGCAGTAGGACCGCAGCTGGACTTCGGACTGATCCAGCCACCTGTCCGGGGTTAAGCTCCGCCCTAGAAGCTGATTGGGTGATGGTGCGGATGCTGTTGCTACGGTGGACAGGAGACTGGACGTTTGTAACGCTGCCATTCTGCCCTGGAGACGAAGTGTGTATGGAGGCTTCCTGGCTTTGGACATCCGTCTCCTGCTGATCTGGCTTCTTGTCAGCTGAAGCCTCTGGAGCTTGTAGCCTCGCTGTGGGAGCAGCAATCAATACACAATCACAACTCCAGCAGAAAAAACACAAGAAAGCACCCAAAACTCCAGAGGTACCTGCAGCCAACTGAAAAACTTTCTTCTTGTCCTCCGTCCGCTCCTGAAAAAGATGGAAAGAAAATGTCATCCAAACATTCCAACAGCTGTTGGGATGGTCGAAGCACTGACTCTGGGATTGTGTGTTTTTTTTGGTTGGGGGGGGGTTTGACTTCAACATTTGAAGCTTCTCAGAGTTCACATGGTTAATTTTTAGGTCTACCAGGTCTATTATTTCCTGTGTTTTTTGCAGGACTATATAATTTATTTTTTTTTAATTTCAGGGATGATCAGTAAAATATCATTAAACCTCTGAAAGTGTTTAATTCAACAAAACATGCCGTGTTTTATTTAATCTGAAGTTAGCAGATTGCTACAACACCAAACTGACTGTTACTAAAAGGATTTGATCTTTTCAACTAAAGTTTTTATCTCCAGTTTAATCCTGAACTCCACTGTTTAACGATCCTGTAAATGTCAGGAAGAGGTGTTTGTTTGGAGGACTCAAATGCAGAGACGAGTGGGCAGAGGTGAATTTAAGTGGTTTAATTAGGTTCACAGGCATAGAGGCAGGAGGTTAACAGGCACTGAGGCAGGAATCAAAAACTCCAACAAAAAATAACTAACGAACCAGAACCAAGGTGACATCAGGGGAAAACCAAAATCTAGGAACCAGGGAGAGACGAGGAAGGCAGACAGACGATGACGAGAGGTTAGACGAGGATCCAGCAAACAGGAACTGAAGAGAAAGGGCTTTTAAAGGGGACAGAGACAGGGAGAGGGCTAATGAGGGAATTGAAAACAGGTGAGAGCTGAACAGAGAACAGAGCAAGAGAAAGAGGACACAAGAGGGCAGCAGAGGACAACAAATGGAGAACCTGGAGGACAGGAACTAATAAGAAAACAACAACAAAATAATAATCAAATAACTAGGATAAAGAAACATGGTGAAAAGAAAACTAAACACTAGAAATCAAGGAGCAAAAGAAAAACATAACAGAAGCAGAAACCTAACAGTACAGGCAGTATAACCATCTTGGTTCTGTTGGTTTTCTCTAAGTTTTCAGTTTCATGTTTATCCATGTTTTTCTTTGTTTTCTAGCTTTTTGGTGGGTTCTGGATTTATTTAAGTTTCTTAGGTTTTTCTTTGCTTGTCCTCTGTTGCCCCCTTGTGTTTTCTTTTCCATTTGCTTCCTCGTCAGCTCTACTCACACCTGCTCCTTATCATCTGGTTAGTCCTGCCTTTGTTCAGTCAGCCATAAATACGCTAGCTATGCAGTCCCTTAGTGCTGGTTCCTGGTCTTACTTTGTGTGCCCTGGCTCCTTGTGATTGTTTTCCCCTGATGTCTCCATGGTTCTGGTTTGTGTTTCATTTTTATGTTGGATTTTTGGATACCTGTGTTTGCTACCTATGTTATCCCATTAAATCTGCAGGAACTCACCTCAGCCTCCCTGCCACTGCATTTGGGTCCTCACAAAAACATCCAACACAATCGTGACAGGCAGCTTTGAAATTCAGGGCTGTTAGACTTCTAATGAGACCAGTTTCCTGCAGCTTTCGTATTTGTCACTATTTCAACACCAAAATCAAATAATTGGATCATTAATTGAACTCCGGGAACTTCTGGCATCATTCAGAAATGTAAAATTTGCAGGAAAGCAGACGTGAGTCTCTGGATCCAGGTTACTTCCTTTAGGTGGCAGCTGCAGCCGGAGCAACCAATTCATGGATACGCTAACAATACGTTGCTCTGCTATAACCATGTAGTTTTACACAGAAGTTTGCTGTTACAGGTCTATTCTGACCAGAGCAGAAACCTGCAGCCACAGTGGTCCCAGTCACAGATCAGTTTAGGGCAACTGTAGAATAACCATCATGAAGTTATTCATCTAAATTCTAATATTTATATTTGATTTAAAATGACTGTAGAGCAGCTAAAGAAAGTTGCTGTTTTTGATGCTGTGGTCAGGATGAAATCCTTTCATTCAGTGTAGAAGAATATCAATATTTGGAAACAAAAACATAATTTAAAACTCCCTACATATTTAAGAACTGCGAATAAACTTTACAAAATGTCTTAATACTTGGCATGGATACTGAAAAAATTTTACTTTGAAAAAAACATGCATCTAGCTAAAAACTCCTATTGATCATTGTTTAGTGAAAAAAAAAGAAACTTAATCTGTTTACATCATTTTTATGTTCAGAACATTTTCAACAATAATTTTACTGTCATGTTTTTGTTCTTTTTAAGTTAGATCTTTGACTTTTCATTGGTTTTATTTCCATTTTGTGTTATTCTAGTTATTCTTTATTGTATTTGAGTTCTTAGGTATTTCTTGTTAGCCCTCTGTTGCCCTCTTGTGTCAGTCTCCTTCTCTTAGCTCCCTTCTAGACTCCTCTGTTCACACCTGCTCCCAATCTGCTGATTAGTCTGCTCTTTGCTTCTCTTTCACATATATACAGCACACCTCCTGCTCAGTCACTGTTGCTGGATAATCATTTCTTTGCCCTTGTTGGGAGTATTCCTTGTATTCAGTATTTTGTGGATTTATGTTTTTGGATTTTTGTTTCTGTTGGCCTTTTTGGTTAATTAAATCTTGCAAAACCACCTCAGCTTCAGTCTCTGCATTTGGGTTCTCTTCAAACCTCTACCCAACCTCACACTCACTGACAGATGATTTTACTTATTTGGATTTAGCTCCAAATAAAACATTTTCTCATTTTTTCAATTTTTTTCATTTTCTTTATAATATCCAAACATGATCAATAGGATTAGTTTAGCCAGATGAATGTACATCTGCTTAGTCTGCCTATGTCTGCTGTGTATATGTATCAAAGACGCTGAACAGGGATATCATCCAGCATCACATCATCAATTCTCTGTGCTAATTGAAAAACGGTAAACATTTAAAAATAGAGAGTTTATTACATTATTAGGATTTGTGGATTAAATGCATATTCAGGATTATATACGATAGTACATATCGCAATTTTGTTTGCAATAATGGAAACTTAAAGAGAAATATCAGCTGTGCTGCTGCCATCAACACTTTTGTATCTATGCTTCTTTTTCTATGTCTGCTTCTGTCTCTTTGAACCCCAGTCGGCCTCAGCAGATGGCCGCTCACACTGAGCCTGGTTCAAAGAGACAGAAGCAGACATAGAAAAAG